AAAAATACTTTTACTTTTCATGTGTAATAAAGCTCAATATAGCGTGGCACGAAAATTATAAAAAAACAAAGATATTTGTTACATGATCCATTTTCTGGCCTCAATTAAATCCAATCACAATCTAATAAATTGAGAGTCTCGTACTTACATACTCAGGCTTTGCATGAGTGATACTATTTCTAAATTGGATAGACGAGCAATTCCAGATAGCATAATTATACAGGGCTCTTATCAAGTTAGGACAGATCTAGAATTTTGTACACAAATTAGAGGGTAGTCTAATACTCAAAATTATGAAAAATGGGTTGCTCTAGTTTGCGGTTTCCAGCAAAGACAGACTCTTAATTTGCCACCAGGCCTTTTTATATGACCACACCGTAACGAACCTCAATGACCAACCCTTCAAAATTTATCACTCCGGAATTTCTGACCACATTTCCTTCTTCATCATTCGTCTGCTGTTCTACAGGTTCCATATGTAACCAACTTCCTTTATTGTTTGCCCTTGAAGGGAGGAAGGCGCGGGGGTGTGTCGGTCAAAGTTTACTTTTAAAAATTATGAAAGTGAGAACTTTGAAACATGTAACTGAGCCGGATAGGTTATCATTTTTTTTTAAATCTGGCCGAGAAAACTAATCCCCTTCCTCGTCTTTTTGTTCAGCTTCGTATTATGAGGTATTAGGAGAGCTATTTGTCTTGAGTGTGTTGTTCTAGTGTGAGATTAGTTTGGTTAGTTACGAGTGCTCCGTCCAAATGCTCACCTGGAATTTGGAGATGAAATGGGAGGAGAGTTTAGAGATTTTTATTTGAGTGGGCGTACCTCATCTAAAACCACAAAGTTTGAGCTGAAACTGCCCAAATTTTCTTTGTGTTATTTTGGTTAGTTATGACTTGTCGTTAATGAACTTATGTATGCACATCCCTGGATGTATGGCCATCCACCTTTGCGTGTAATTATATTTGAGAGAAAATCTTGTGGTGTTACAGATCTTATGCTTTGATATTAAATATGTTCTCCAGTTCATGTTTTTTATCATCGTCATCAGCCTTAAATCGAAAGGTGATTCCTAATTTTAGGCAGACGCGGGGATGCATAACTCAACAAGACGTGCGTTGTGGCCTTATGGGTTACTGTATCATTTTCATGACGTTTATTAACTTTATGATTTTTAGATTGGGTATCATTAGTTCGTGCATTCATTCAAATATGTAGGAAACAGCTGCAGATCGTGATACGTATGTTACAAGAATGGATGGAAAGTCGAAATTTTCCTTAATTTGCATTTCCTTAATTCATCAAGACTTGAGAATTCCTGGGGTTCGACTGCCTCAGAGAAGAAAGTTGGGTGCAAAGGGTTGTCATAAATATGCCCGACAATTAGTCTGTGCACCAAATTCTTTGTGAATTAAGAAATCCAATGTTGAATGTGTGTAGTCGATATCGTTAGGCATGATTTTCTTTCAGTGTGTGACTGGTTTAGTTGGGCTCTTGTGTAATGAGCATCGACTTTTGACTGGTAATAGAACTGGACGTCGTGTTCACTTCAACTAATGATCTGAATTTTATGACCTCAGGTTTTGATTTGACAGAAAAGTCGACAGGTTAGTGGACTACTCGATTCATTTATTCATTCTCGCATGGTCTGATTAGCACAAGAACTTAACATAATTAGAGGGCATTATTAGTTCACTTTTGTTGCACTCACTGTTCTCGTGTACCTTTTTCTGGCACTTTTTCTGTCCGACTGGTTTTTCAGTGGAAAGGATGTAACATGTAAAGGCTAAATTTACAAATATGTAAAATAATTCTAGAACTGGCCGAGAAATTCGTGAGATAATTTCGAATTTTTATTACCTCCCTCTGCACCCATTTAGAATTCCTCGTTACAATCTTAATGTCGTACGTTCCGGTTAGTTTTACCAAGTTTTTAACCTTAATGAAATCTTATTACGAAAACGTGACAGATTCTGATTGTGAGTTAAAAGATCGATCCTTATGATTTTTGGAATGGGTAAGAATTCCTTAAATTCTTGAAAGTAACATTTAATCTAATGCAGAGTAAAATTAGTCGAGATGCAGATTTATTGTGATTAGCGAGGGCACAAAAAAGTGAGCAATTTTCAAATACGTATCTTATTTTAGAAAGTTTAGACTCATTTCCCAGAGAAATTTGCCTTCTTTAGTATAGATAACGGAAAACAACGAATTCTTCTCTGGGCCAAGAGAGAGAACAGTTACAGTTAAAATATCTGGACTAAATAAGCACTGTAAATTCAGGACAAATAGAGAATTGACTGGGAACAGAGTCACATTATTGGAGTAAGAATTCCCAAGATGACAACGCTTCTTGGTATTATAATTGGACCTCATAAAATCCTTCTTTGGCCTGTTTTCTCGTCGTCGTCTTCCTCGTGCAGATAAGAAATTCCAAATTGTTCCCTTTTATTTGATTCAACTTGACACTTTACACCTCATGAATACTTAAATGCGCAAGCAGCTCGTTGTACGTATCTTTTTTGGCGTACGAGATGCAGTATTATTTGCAGGCAATGATTATTCTTCCACCGCGGCCCACTCGCACTTTCATCTGATGATGCTCCCAATAATAGTGATGTACATGGCTCCTCCTTTTGGGTACAGATATATCTGATCAGATATCAACGAAAGAACTAACCGCAAAACGAGTGTATTACGTAATAGCGAGAAATACGTACTTAGTTAGATGAGTTTCTTATTGGAGTTGGGCCTGCTTCGGAGCAAATGTAAATTTAATGCTGCATTCTCAATTCAGATTTCACTAGATTGTGCATGGTTTTTTGGCTGCTGCTTTTCTCCAATGTCATAAAAACAGTCTTAAATTTTTACCGAGTAAAAGAAAATGAGAACTTTACAGTTCTTTTTTTTTCTGGGAAAAAATGTTATTTAACTGAAATTGCTTGACAAAATGGACAATAATTGGATGCACAGGTCAGCCAAAGTCATCCTAACTTTGGTAATTTCAGCGATGCAATTACGACAAGGGTACAATTATTGCTTTGATATCTGTAATAATATGTAACAAGGAGGAGCCCTGTTGTACAAAATGCGACAAGATGTTGTTACACAGATATTTTTTTTTATCTAATCTAAAATGACATTAGTTAACAATGACAATTTCAAATGGGAGTTGCAGTTTATGGTCCTAAAAATAGTTGAACTGTAATCAAGTAACTAAGACAAGAGATAGATACGTACCTGCTTGACAAATTCTTTTGATGAGATATTTTGTCATTAGTACTGCTCGGTGAGTGATCAAGTGTGCCAGTCAGAGAGATCTATGCCTTAGAAACTCTAGATTTAAATTAGAAGAAAGCCTCCTCACCCAACCTCATAATCTAAATCTCTTTGACAGGAAATTCATTAACGCGGAATCGATTTAGATAGATTTGAATTGAACGCAACCTCAACAAGTTGGTTGGTTGATATTACACCATGAAATCTTCTTTCAAGTCGAAAATAATTCTCTCCATTTTGAATCGGAGATTAATGCCTCGTGTAAAATCCAAAGTTCTTCATTGTCCTGGGACAAAGATAAAAGTAAATTCGGGAGCTGCTGGAAGAATTATCCTTAAAGTGAATAAATAATTGCTCAGTCAGTGTAAAAATGTCGTCTTTGTCACATTGTGATCTGATTACGAGTGCCTCTTTCACTCTTGAAGAGGAGGAGGGTGGGTGATTCTTCTCTACTAAAGTATTTATTCCTCCAACAACATGCATACAATAAGTGTATAGATAAATGCAATGCTCATCTTCTTGTAAGTGTAATAGTGCTCTGTCCCTTTCTCTGTCACTCGAATGGCTTCTTTGTCTTTGTGCTTGTGTCGTGTCAGGAGCGATTCAATTCGGTATAAGCTGTTTTGCCTGCCTGCAGATACATACGCATGGAGTGTACAAGTATGTAAGTACTGCACTAAATAGTTGTAGAGTCAGAGATTCTATTCAACTTTTCATTTCATTTGAATCATCTCGTCCGAGAGTAATTAGTGCCACTGTCGTCTGGCCCGGCTCCTCCGGTGAATTCCTGGTTGTTTCTCTTCTCCAACTACTAAAATCCAACTCCTGAAGAAGGAGGAAGGAAAGTCTTAAATACGTACGTGTTGAATTGAAACCTATTCCGCTTGAATTAATCGATGAGATGAGACGTCTTTCGTATTTTGGATTTCCATCGTCTCCTCTTCTGAGATGAGAGCTTCTTATTTCACGTCTTTGTCACCAAGGAAGAATGGACAAGAAGTAGTGGGATTAGAATTAGGAGATGGATGATGCTTCACTGATCAATAAAAGTACTCCAACCGGTACAATACGCCAAAAAGCTGAATGGAATATGGTAGCATTTGATTGGACTGGTAAGTTAAAAAAAAATATTATGTATCCTAATATTTAAGAAGAAATTGAAAGTCTGCATATTGATACGTGTCTAATTTTACATGCTCCAATATAGATTTAACAAATGAAATACTGCAAAATTATTCAGAGTCGAGTGAAGTGGTGGGCTTCCATCCAGAGAAGAAGATGCATTATTATCGTGTCAGGTCGAATGTGATTATTAAATAAATACACATTAACTACAACATACATATGCAACTGATAATCGTTTTTAAATATAATAACAAGAAGCAGTCCTGCAACCAGCAGCATCTTGTACCTGTCCATTCTTTTCTCTGCATATACCTGTTAAAATAATTTGAAAATGCTGTAATACGATGCATGCAGTATGTTCAATGCAGAATGCACTTATTAAGCAAGTACAAACTGGAATTGGCCGTAACCGGGCTGATGATCTATAATAAATAGCATGGAGATGAAGGCAGGTGAGTTCATTTATCATTATTTCAATATTTAACGTTTATTAAATTGAAGTCGAGTCGAGTCAAGGCGAGGTACGCGGAGCATACATTTTGTAACGTGTTCAGTTTGTTTAGTTGCTTATGAATCGAACAAATCAACAATGTTTTTGCTGTCAGGTAAATTGCTAGGTTCAATTTCAGTAGTAATACAATCCAGAATCGAGATTAAGCTTAGAGACAACGAGTTTTTCCATGGCCATAAGTAAAGTAAAGTAAAGAAGGTAGTTGAGTTGATTTGTTGATGCAGTTAGTACAGGCTGGTCTTCTTTTCTTATGCTTCTTACGTATTCTGATGAGTGAAGTGAATCGATGTGATATTGATATAAAGGATTAGCGTAACGTTGAAATCGATATGGTGGAAGGAGACTCAGTATTTCTAACTTTACAGAATATTAACTAGATTATAAGAGAGTCCGTATAAAAATTGGATTGGGCAGGCAAACCGAGGCATGACAGGCAATTGAGTTTATAAGTAATTATTTATCAAACAACATCTTCAACTCATACACACATGCATTTCGTATGGATGTAATTTAACCGATTAAGTAAATAAGATTGGTGAGATAACGTAACACTCGGGTAGAATTTTTTGTGGAAATGCAGCTTATTGCAGTTAGATTCTTGTACAAAATTCCATTATCTTTTATTTTTTTTCAGCATAGTTGCAGTACAAATTAATATCAGCTCCTCGAGGCAAGGTGAGATTCTGGTAAGAATTTTACTTTTTTAGTACGGTTATGCCTAGATAAGACAAAGTAATGTTTGCAATTACAACATAATTTGAATTGTAAATTAAAATTTCGAATGGTAAATTGAAATATCAAATGGAAAATTGATATGCTTCATTAAATCTCGATTTTAATTCAATTTCTTCTGTTACATACAAGTTTATTGCCAATCATTGTGCGAGTACGTGCTGAACAACTCGCCCTTAACAATTAAATCTTGCTGGGTTGGTTGGATCATGTGCAATTTTAAAATGCAAATAGAGATGTAACTGTGTGTTGAAAATGAAGATGCAACCATAGCTTAGGTAAATACTAGTTACTTTTCCCACCGAGAGTCAACAGCCTAAAACGATTCTACAGAGTTGCATCGCATCATGAAATGGTGGATTAGACGGTGTTTGTTAAGAAACCAATTACAACTCTTGGTTTCAAAGGAAGGAAGTGCCTACATTTTTACGATGTATCGAATCAAATCGGACACATGTTCTCTCATAGAACAACGAATCGTGAATAATAATGAGTGAAAAAATTGAAAAGAAGAAAGACTAGCCCATCCATATGTCAACCCGGTTGTGATGGAAGAAAGAAGATGCGTAGACTTTATGCCAGTATGCCTTGGCCTTTGTCAAGGGCCTTAAGAGTGGTCATGAAACACGAGTTAATACCATTTTGTATAGCCTTTGGCGTAAAAATAGCGCTTGTTAAAACGCAACAGATGGAAAATGGTAGATTTTGATTGGAGTATTTAGTTAGCAAAAAAGTGAAGATTTTATTGACATCAACTCTTTCTCGATCAGACAAATCTAATACAAAATATATTTGAACCGGTTCAAAAATCCATGCTTACATAAATATATGTTCTCACTGGAATATTACGTCCTTCTACTTGCCACTGTTGGCGTTGCACCATTTTATTTTCCCACACCCCACCCATTTTGAATCCAGGATTGACCCCAGCACGCCGCTTAGCCTCGACTCCCTTCCTTCTCAGAGCACTTTGGAATTCTGAGGGGTTTGGGGGGGAGTGGACAATGTTCCCTTTTGTGCCCGTCTTCCCACAATTGTAAAACATATGAACAGATGCTAAATAATCATAAATTATTCTCAAGAGAAAATAGATTATTGTACCGGTACAAAAAAATATGTCACTCACATCTCACTAAGTGTTGGGGGTCGAGATTGATTAATTGTCGACCTTCGGGGCAGTTATATTTTGTATATGAAAATAAGAAACTATTAATATGTGATGTCCAATAAAAAAAATTTAAAAAGAAATACTTACGATTCAGTTTGAAGCACTTGGAACACAATGGTTGATGACGAGGGACCGACATCGGTCACCGGTGCAAATGTTAACACCGAATTTTTTTAAAATTTTTATTTTTGCAATTATAAAAAGAGAGAAAAGTAATTGTTTTAACGTCAGTCAGGATATAATAAAACAACTGCTGAATTTGAAATGAGCGGGCTCAAACTCAATGATTTTTTTGAGACCTCTGGACTGACTCATGCGGCTTGACTGCCGCCGTTTCGAGTAATCAAGATCAAACTTGTCTTGGCTGTGGAGTAAGTAGAGCATCGACAAGTGATAAACGTTCAATCATTCTGAGTTTGTTTCCCGAAGGATTCAGTCGACAAGAAAACTGCTCCAGAAAATAAAAATTATTACTCGAAAATCAGATCTCATAAATATTTGTGTGAGTAGTGAACATGGAGTCGGACGCCGAATCACCCAAGTCCAGCGAGATGTAAGTAATCCCTCTCTTCCACCCCTTCCTTTCATATAATTACTTAAACTATTATTTAATCCTGACCGGTCAAGTTAATTTGTAAGCATGTACATTTAGACCGTTCAACTGTGTTGGTTTTAGAATACTTTTCATTTTGCTTTATACATTTTCAGATATGTAGACTTGTCGGACAGTGACGAGGAAGACGTGTTTACAGTTTGCAGCCGGAAGAGGAAGGCGCTTCCAATTGTCTCTTCAGATGAGTCAGAGGATGAAGAAGACGATGGTGATGATAATCTGGACCTGTCCAACTCGGACCCTCAGCCTAGTCATTCCAGAGATATCAATCCAGATCTCGATCTTCCAGAGAATTTCCATTCACGGCGATATGGAAAGGTACTGTATTTTTTATTATATTTATTGTTTTGTCGAATATAAATCAACGTAAACAATTATTGTTATTTGAACCGGTTCAATAAATTTGTTTACGTTTTAGCTCTCCAACAATCTCCGGGAATTGGAACGTCGTGAGGAGTTGATCGATTGGTTGAAGGAGGTGGAGAAGAATCCATCAGCAGGTCGGGCAGCCTACGATCAACGACGCGAGGAGCTTGAGTTGGCAGGAAATTGGAGGCAGCAAGATCGGGAGCATGGGGAGATTTATTTTGATATCCGTATTCCAGGTAAAGAAGTATAATTTTATCTACAATTTGAGAATAAATTAATAGTTTTTATTGAACCGGTTCAATCTTTTAATTTTATAAGGTTCGCCAGTAAAGGGTTACTGGGTCCTCAAATCTGATGGCAAAAGGAATGTACTATCGTCTTATTACGCTGCGCAAATGAGATTAAGTGTATCGCAGACCAGATCCGATGCAAACGAATCCTATAGGGACCCAGCAAACCCTCTTCATGACGTAATTAAAGACAGCATGCGAAAATCTGTCGAAGCTAGACCACCAATGGATATTATATATACAGCATCATTAATTCTTCCGGCAAATATGGGGGTTGATTTATGGGAAACTATGCAATCAGTTGAACCGGTTCAAGATTATGTCGGGATATATAATGGAGATTTGGGTCGTTTCTCAACCTTGTAACTTTTCCCGTAAAAGCAATAACCGAGAAATCTACAACAGAACCGTTGGTTGCGATGACCCAGACTATTGCATAGAAAAGAAGGTTATTTTATGCAACTCCACAAATACAAAAGAAATAGGGGAAGGATTTCTGATGGTAAATACTATTTATTAATTCCACTGCTATCAACGTTAGACCGGTCTAAATAAATATTAATTCTTTAAATCCAGGCATACGGACAGAAATACAACAAATTCCATGGAGTCGAGCGCTACATCATAACGGAAGCCGCAACCCCACCATCCGATCTGATTAAGAAAGCGCATAAGTATGTCGTCGATGGAGTCCCGATGTTTGAATTCGTTGAAGAGGAACATCTGGACCGGTCCAACCCACCCTTTTGGGCTACTCTCGACCAAGTGACTACGCTCCCTTACACCATCTGTAGAAACGACCTGAAAATTCGGTATGATCCAAACTTCCCTGATGACAGGCGTCACTACAAAACATTCAAGAATTTTAATCGATTGATTGAAGAATTTGGCTATCCCTCTGAAGAGTATTTTGTAACCGTTGATGATTCTCGAGATAAGTTTAAATATTAATTTTATAAAATGACACTATAATTACAAGTCCATGAAATGAATTTTTAGTATCACTTTTTTTATTTATGTAAGAATTTTATAATTTGTAAGACGAATCATTTTTGCATAATATCCTATCATATATAAAAATGTGTAAAAAAAAATGTTTTTTGACTAGTCAAAAATAGGACATCATGGCTTAACTCCGCCCACCTTAAATACTTAAAACGGGGTCTCATCTTCTTCTGTCTGCCAACTATTTACAGTACAGTCGTGCATATTTATAATATTTGTAAGTATGTATACACACATATATTCACACGATAACAATAAAAAAATGGTAAATATGTATGTATTGGTTAAAGTAAAATATAAAGCACACAACAATTCGAGACTACTGTCTAAAAAAATGTCTGAATACGAAATGATGGCTTCCTTGTTTGTTTTTCATGTTTGATTTGAATGTTTGCCTATAACAGCCACACACTAAGAGAAGAAGTCATTCGATTGGAGGGATGTCATAATTCTAAGACTTTTATTTATACAAGGATTTATTTATGGATGGTGTATTATTTACCAACCAACCATGTACATATGTACTAAACGAACATCAGTGCCTGTCTGGTTGGATGATGATGATGTAAGTTTAAGGTGTAAAAATAATAAATTATTCTTTTTTAAGACGTGTTCCTACAATATAAATGCGTACGTTAAACTTGACACAAGAAACTATTTGCTTGGTGTTTGTGTAAGATATGCGAGCGAACTTCTTTTCAGTCTTCTTTACAATAATAATATATACGCGTAGCAAAGGTGATCAACCCTATTTAAATATTTATAAGAAATGTTCATTGATGTAAAACTATACAAAATACATTTGCCCATTACTATTCTGCGGCTGATTGGGCTTCTGACCTTCTCCTACATTATTATTCGATGGAGACTGACTGGAGGAAAATTCCGTTTTATGCCCATTACCAGAATTACTGCTCGTCGTAGTAGTGCTATTGCTGCCATTACGCTTAGTGCTAAAACTATTCCCTAATTTATTGGCACTTTCACCATTGCTGTTATTGCTCATCGTCGTCGGCGTCGTCTTCTTGACCTGGTCGGGAATTGTATTCATCCTGGTTGAAGTTGTTGCGGTCGTATTTGCAGCGTTGGGAGATTGTAGAGGAGAGTCCAAAGTGGAATAGACGTGCTCTAGTTCTTCCGCCGAGGAGGAGATAGCACTTGAGGAATAATTGGGCTCAAGTGGTTGGTATCCGGTGGTTCCACCTCCTCCTCCTCCGCCACCATTTCCGGAAGACTGTTTTGCAAATTGCAAACCTGATGGGATGCTTTGATGATTCTGCTGCTGCTGTTGCTGCTGCTGTTGCTGCTGCTGGTGAAGATGTCGTCGAAAACTCTCATTGAAAGAGAAGTGGTGTTGTTGTTGTTGTGTGGGAGGGAGTGGAAGTGTGGCGATAGGGTAAACGACGCCACCAGTACCACCGCCAATACTGTGCTGATGATGACGACCCGGAATTCCATGCACGGGAGTGAAATTTTGGAGGTTATTATTCCCCACAAAGTAATGTTGACTACTGGGATTGCTGTACTGACTGGCATTGTACAGGCTAAAATTCTGCTGGGATTGGTACTGCTGTTGAAGATGTCCTTGAGGGAGGAAGGGGGTCGTGAGAGCAATGTGATGCTTGGGTACTGGGGGACTAAGCGTGCCGTCGTTCGAGAGGGGGATCTGGTACGGTAAAATGTTTCTGTGATATTGGTGTTGACTACTGTAGGGAAAGTCGAGACGATTTATCGTGTAGCTGGACATGGTGTTGGACGCGTTAGAGTTGTTGGAGCTTACTCCTGTCTGGAGATCAATCAACGGTGCTTGTGGACCACCGGAGCCCGAGATTAATAAAGAAGATCCCCTCCGTCCTCCAGTTCGTCCCCCCGTGTTGGAAGAGAAAGTGTTAATGTTGGATGGGGTGGGAAGGAGAATCTAAAAAAAAAGTAAAAAAAAATTGTGTAATTTTGACGCTAAATAAAAACATAGAAATGTTCAAATACATAAATTGAATAAATTTGTAGCGGGAGATTACAGATTTCCAGAGAACTTGCACACGCACCAAATTCGGTTTATTTAATTAATTATAATTAACATTTACTGTTATGGGAAAATTTAAGAGTAAGAAAGTGGAGGAGAAGGAAGTCACACGGAAAGTTAAGTCCAACCAAAGAAAGCCAAAGGAAAGGAAAAGTCTCCCTTTTCTTTGTGGGAGAAAGAACGATGATGGGTCAATTTGCCAACACAGAACGGGAAAAAAACAAGGATTAAGAAGTCACCAGCGAGCGAAACACATCGGAACTCCAGAACTGTAAGTGAAAGAGAAAGTCTAAGAACTATGGGTGGCTATCAGGATAATATGCTATGAGGAAATCGCGTGATTTTCAAGATTCAGAAATTATTAAGTCATTTTCACCTTTTCTGTAACTACCATTTTGACGAACCAGGCATGTGTAATCTCTATTTCTCCATTTGCAAAACCAACAAGAGCGATATCATAACCATCTCTGCAAACATAATCTGACCACAAGGTGTGTTATTGTTGCGTTACGTGTAAATGAATGAGTTGGTTGTTAGTAGATCGACATGATGAATATTTCGCATGCAATGGAACACGATCCCATTTTCTTTTCTGGATGAGTGCATAACGTATGTATAACACTGTTCAAGTCTCGTAGGTAATAAATTGCAACCACCAGGAATTATTTTAATAAACAACCACCCGCGTAGGCTGCCACTAGTTGGCTTGCTTGGTAATAATAGTCGGATCAATTTCCCTAACCAATATGTGCCTCCATATTGCAGGAGAGCTGAAAGGCTTGAAAAGCAACGTATCAGGGCTCACAAAGCTACAACAAAAATCTCTATCTATAGTTTGATGACATATCGTGAACAACCTTCTGCAAATGCAACAAAGTGGACCCTGATGCCAAAGAATTCTCCCGTGGATCGAAATGATCCTGTTGTCCGGAAGATAATTGCAATTCAGACCTCAAAGTTGAAGAAACTTTCTGACCAAAAGCCTTATTTTGGCAGTATCCTCGTCGCCTACAAAATGGGGAAGAAGGATCTTGGACCAGAGAAAACTCTCAAACAGAAAAGAAAGTCTGGCGAAAAATTTAATTTCCATCTGTATTATGGCACACACGCTACATTTGGACCATGTCCCTATTTTGCAGATACAAAATTGCATGAATCCGCACAATTAACAAAGCTTTGTTTGCAAAATGGTTACGTATGTTACACAATGGTAAGCTTTTCTAGTCACTAACTTCCAAAGATAAATCTAGTCATTGCATGCAATATTTTTCTAGTCATTCATGCTGGTCATGTAAATATAGTAATTATATATTTTAAAACTTTCACTTTTCTAGAACATAACTTTCTCTGGTGGTTCTACAGCGGACAACATGAAAAGAGCCTTCTTATGGCAGCATTTTCATAAGGTATGTCATTCACGTTGGGTTGGTTGGTTGGTAGTCATTTATTAGCATGTTATTCCTTGATCAGTACAATTTAATGACTGGTTTACATCAAGTAACACGAAAAGAAGAGATTGAGTGTAGAAATAATAACTAAATAACGTTGATCTTATAAATAAACGTAAAGTGCTATCCGTACTTTATAGACTCACGGACAAATGATGAGAAATGCTCCAGATGAACCAACCAACGTAGACTTCAAAATTTTGAATCAACTAGTAACTCGTAAAAGTGGATTCGACGGAGAATTGTCAATTGATCAAACCCTGAAAACAATTGGATATGCACAGCAGAGGACTCCACAGATTCCAATTATTCGAGATCTTTTGCCCACCAAGCAGGAATTAAAATGGGAACGATATGACTTTACTGAAGTTTGAATTTCAAATTATGATGGACTATTACATTATATTTGATCAAACACTGTTAATAAACTTATAGTAAATTTAATAAACCTTTTGATTACCTTCAATTTCGACCAGAACCGCTGGTCCCCAAAGTCCAAAGTGCAACTCTTACTGCTTTTTTTAAGTTCTGGGTAAATCGTGCCGAGATTCTGCTCAGTGAAGGGTGGCAAGAGTATGAGAATGAGTTTCTTTTGATGTCGATTGATAGCAGATTGGATTGATGCTCGGAAAGGTTGCGAGTGGGCAAGTTCGGACTGGAGAAAGGTGCGGGATAAGACGAGTACAACCTTTTTCGAGGCATCACACGCGCTCAGAATCATATCCGTGTTCCACGGGTTTTCCGGACTTAGGCAGAGATCTCTATAGTGCAAGCAGAGTCGAAAGTAAGGACCTTGTGTTTCCAACTCGGGAGCAATCTTGTTGACCACGATGTCCTCGTCGGCCGTGTTCTTGCTGTAGATGAAGTAAGCGTCAAACAGCTTGGAGTCATCACCACCACCACCTTCGCCACCAGAGTTGTCATATGAGGAGGAGGACTTTTTCCTTCTCACTTTCTCCCCACAACAGCAAAAGACGAAGAAGAGGAGACGGGAAAAGACCCCTCTGCCGCTGTTACTCCGTAATTCAGACGTGCTGTTGTAAATCCAGTAATAAATTTCTTTTCGGAAAATCGCCACAATCACAACAACTAACACAATCAACGCAGTGACGCTGAGCATTAGGGACCAAAACGTGTTCATCGAGTCGTTCGCAATGTTTGAGTCAATATGACCAAATTGAATCTCTCGCTCGGTGGGGTGAGGAATGGTAACTTTCTCGGCTCCGCCTGCCATAGCGGAAATGTGGTTGTTTAAAATCTCACTCTCCAGTGCATGAATCGGGTTAAAGTTGAAATTAACTTCTGAGTTGTGGTTGCACATTGAAATAATGGGGTATTGAACTTGAATAGGGTACACTTTCCCACCGACATGATGATGTTCGTTCGTATTGTTCACAGTTTGACAGTTTGCATTGGAGAAATCTGCAGCAATTATGGTTTTCGAGGCTACCCAGGTACGAAACGGGATGAGAAACTCGCACTCACAATTCCACGGGTTATTGGATAACATGACACTGTTGAGATAAGCGTTTCCACTCAATTCCCAAATTTGAAAGTCAAACAGCAAGTTCATATCGATGCGGAGGACTTGTAAAAATTTTAAATGGACAAATGTCTCTTTCGCGATATATTTCAATAAGTTATTTTGGAGGTAGAGTTCTCTTAAATTGTCCAAGTCGGAGAACTCATATCCATTCAATTCACTTAACAAATTGTCCTCAAGTCGCAAGACTTGGAGAGCTTTTAACCCATTAAACGTCTTATTTTTTATTGATACCAAATTACTCCCGTTGAGATACAAGGAGAGCAGGTTTTTCTTCCCGATAAAGATGTGGCTTCCCAGTTGGGTCATATTGTTCCCATCCAAATAAAGTTCTGAGCTATCCATAGGTATCTTTTTGGGTATGTCGTGAAAGTTGGAGTTGGAACAGTCCACGATGTTAGCGCTCCATGCCGTGTCATGATAACAGGTACAATTGTCGGGGCATGTCATTTCGCAATCGCACGCTTCAAATTCACAGCAGTGACAGAGGGCAAAACAATGGGACTTGTACGAACAGAGAAAGTCCTGCGGTCTCGTATCCATTAGTGGTACCACTTGATTTGGTCTGGAGAAAGTGGGCCTCAAGAGAATCGCGTCGAGATCCACAATGTGAGGATGAGTTCGCAGAACGCTGAGTTGATTATTGACTCGTGTCAACCATTCCATTTCACAATGCATTTTAAAGGGATTGCCTCCAATGTAAAATTCAGGTAATGATTTCTCCATTGGAACTGGTGGGAAGCGGAGAGAACTTAAGGGCAATTTCTCCAATTGGTTGTTTTGCAAGAAAACCTTGCGAATTCGGGTGGATCGAATGAACGTGTCGGAGACAACGGTGCGAAGACCGCAGTCTGAAATTTTCAGAATTTCTAAAGTTGGTGGAATCGTGGTGTAGTCGAGGCTGCTGAGACGGCTGTTGAACGAGACGTCCAGGACACGTAGGCTGTATTGCGTCTCGGATGAACTTGCAGGGCCACCGAGTGACTCGAGTAAATTGTAGCTGAGGTCAAGCCACTCGGTTGTTGGTGGGAGGAGGTGGTAGTCAGCCCAGCGGATCTGATTTTCGGACACGTTTAGCCATAAGAGCGAGGGTAATTGTGGGGCCAGGGTGGGGGGCAGTTCTTGCAAGGAGTTGGTGTCAAGTCGCAAAACACGAAGTTCTGGACACGAGGTAAATGCAGACGGTGAAATTTGTCGGATTCTGTTCTGTGATAGGTTTAAAACTCGGAGAGACTTCATGGATGAGCAAAACCCGGGTGGCAAGGATTCAATCTTGTTGTCCACAATTCTTAACCCGTAAAGTTGTCCGAGCCCAGAAAATGAGTCGTTTTGCAGGACAGAAATTCTGTTTTCACCCAGATCAAGGGTCACCAAGTGGCCTAAACCTGCCCCTTTCAGAGCTTCAGGCACTTCTTGCAACAGATTGTCTGCTAATCCCAAATCACTAATCAGACTGCAGTTCTTGAGCACATTTTCGCTTAATGATCGCAATTTATTGTGATCGAGGTAAAGGGATCGGATCGTAAACAGACTGGAGAAAGTTCTGGAATCGATGTGGGACAATCTGTTGAACGACAGGTCCAAGAAATGCAGGTTACGTAACTCGCTGAAGGCTGTGGGGTGAATCGTGTCAATCTTGTTCCTCTCAAGTGAGAGAGATTGCAGAGAGACCAAGTCGTTAAAAATGCTCCCATCTATGTAACTCAATTGGTTTGATGACAGTTTTAAAATGACGAGTCGACTCAGACCTTGGAATATGTTCTCCTTGATCCATTGGCTCGTCAACGTGTTTCTACTAAGGTCGAGAGAAAGTAGGTTTTCCAGCCCGGAGAAAACTCTCGGGGAAATGGCAGAGATGGTATTATTCTGTAGATAAATTTCCCGGATGTTGACATTCGATTGGAAAATTGTGGGTGGAAGTGCAACAAGCCGGCAAGATGAGAGATTTAGCATTTTTAGCTGCGTCAATCCAGCAAATGCATCGTCTCCTAATTCCTCAAGTTGTGCATTATTCTGCAGCCTGAGCTCCACGAGTTTTCTCATGCGAGAGAAAGCATTATAACCCAACCGACGCAAGGCATTTGCTGATAAGTCAAGATTTTGAACACTCATTGCACAATAAGCATTATTATTGTTGCTGCTTCCGCCGCCGCTTGTTGGCAACACCAAATCCCCACCACTCGCACTTAATTCCTCAATATCACTGAGTCTATTCCGACTCAAATTCAAATTCACAAGGCTTCTTAATGAACAAAAGATATTTTTGTTGGGTAAGCTCCAAATGTTCGATTGGCTTAGGTCGAGCCTCTCAAGTTGTCCGAGCCCCTCGAAAGCTCCCGTCTCAATCTCAAGACCCACGGAGGACGACCACTCGCTATTCTGACTCCTTAATCCCAAGCTTTTAAGAAACCCAAGACTTGCCCAGATTCTACCCGGCATTTTTCGGATCTTGCAACCCTCAATTTGAATCTCTTTGAGGTTTATGAGTCGAAAGAAGGACTGATTTGGAGTTAGGACTGATTCGAAAAAAAGTTTGTCGTTGCACTTTATTCCGAGTTTAGTTGTTTGCTCGGCCTGGTCGCGGTTGAATGTATAATTCCAAAAGTCTAACGTTCTCAAATTGCAGTCGAGGGTAAAAGTTGATGGGCCCCCATTTTTTATCAAGCTATTCGTCGTCGTCGTGACAGGAATTACAGTGGAGGATGACGCATTATTCGCCCCACCATTTTCCAATGTCCAAATACAACCTGCTCTAGGTGACTGCTGCTGTTGTTGTTGGAGGATGAAATCATTTCTGAAGGAGTCAACCGTCTGGAAAATCCAGGACGAGGTTGACACCGCCACCAAAACAAGAATCCACAATTTATTCATTTTGATTGAATTTCTTTCTGCTTCCTCTACCGCTATGTTAATCGTCACGAATACAACAATAAATCTCCACCCATCTCGCAAGTTTCTCTTTGTCAGGTCAAATGTCACTTTGGCCCGAGATACTAAAAACTCAGGGAAACACCGTGGTCAACTTTTTAGTCTGTAACTATTTTATGTTTTACATGTGATAGCTTTTTAGCCCCACGTAACCAATCTCAACTCGATAGTCTTTTCCCATGGTTGTTGATGGCTCATGTGAACTTTTACATCACACAACTGTCTCTTTTTTATATATTCTGATGCACTTGGGAAACAACTCGTTTTTTCATACGTTTCATTTACAAACTATGCAAAGTGAGACGACTGTGTGTAAAGGAACGCTGCTCGTTAAACGGTGCCTGTGCTCACGTTCGAGCTTCAGAGTAAACTGACATCCAAAAGTTGGGAACAACTGACTAAAAACTTGCTTTCCTTCACTTTACACACGCTTATGCTCACTTACTCCTGGGTCGTCGGAGAGTTACCACCATCAGCTCTGTTGAATTTACCATCCTCCTCTTTCCTTGCGGTTTGGAGGCAACACAACATTGGATATTCTTCATAAAGGTGCATACCTCGTTGGGGTTGGTTGGATATTGAAGTAAAAGGGCTTGTTGCTACATGCGGACGGACGGTCAGAGCAGAGAAACTAATTTTATTCCCCATTGACTACACAAAGTTCCCATTACATGACATGATTCTGATACGGTCGAAAAACATGTCCGTTTCCTTTAAGTAATGTCTTTCGAAAAGTAATCGTGCCCATTCTATATTGAGAAATGCTTATATTTTTTATCAAAAAGAATTGATTCTCACCCTAAAAAAATAAATAATCAGTAATCAAGAAATTTTGGATTCAAAAGTTCAATTAGAAGCGAGACAAAGTTCATATTAGGGAAAATTTGGCGTCATTTTATTCCTGATCACTTTATCAGATCGTACATATTTACAGGCAGAGATCATGTATTGAGTTATTTTTCTGAGAGAAATTGGGTTTCTTTATGTGACAAGGCTTGCTTGTTTTTTGTAATTTAGATGATTGTATTTCACGATCATCATATAATATTTGTTGGGTTATGACGACCTATGGCTCTGACATGGCCAGCTCGTCATGCAGATAGGAATAAAGCGAGGAGGAATGAATACCTGCCGTTTCTCTGCGGTATCAATGTTTCAATTCTTCCTACAATATGCATAAATCTCGTAACTATTTTGTGGCTAGAGATGAAAACGGTGTTAGAGCAGCAGCAGCAAGGGATTAGAAAATCTATCAAAAACAACGGGAACCTGGAAGGTAACCGATTTTTTCGACACGGAAGCGTGAGATATTTCGTATTTTATGTGATTTTTAAGCCGCTGGTGGGCCAAGTCATGTCATATATTGAGACTGATCCAAAAAATTTGAATTCGGTTAAAATAATTTGAGGAAAGAGTGAAGAGAGATCTTGCATAGATTTCGATTTGGTTGCCGTTTTCCAAAGAATATTGAGTACTCGGAGGAAAATTAGCATGAAAGAAACAGAAAATCAGGTTAAAAACCTCTGGACGATCCATCCGTACATTTTTATACTCGTACTCGCACCACCGAATCGCCGGATTCTTAAAGCAGGAGCTGGCTTTAAAGAATTAAAAATTAATAAAGGTATTTGCATCACAAGAGTTTCGTGTTCATTCCTGAGTAAGTAATTTACAGATCAGAGTCGGACAGCACAAAAACCGGTCAAGGTTTCAGCATGTCGAACGAAGAGTGATTTTTTCCAAGCTCGGAGATGATACACCTCTTCCTCATATCGTGTTTGTTAGTTTATCCTGCCAAAGAGCTGGTCGGTGGCATTGTAAGTGTGAGTTGAGTGAGGTGAGTGGTCTGAATGTGTAAATTTCGATGGACAAGGTCCATTTGGATTTACTTTCGGTTTCTTTCAATGCGACTAGACATCTGTATCTCGCTCTGGTTTATAAAATTTTAAAATACGTACGAAGTAGCGAATCACTCGCTGAAAGTAAAAGCAAGGGAAGAAAAAGTGCAGCATTTACTTAAAAATCATGCCTTTACTTCACTACACATTCGTAGGTGATACACAGCATGTCGTGCATTTAAAACTTGAAAGATTGCATGCGTCCTTTCCGCATTTAACTTCTCCACGTCTCCTCAGAAATCTGACAGGGAAGGATTTCCGAGAAAAACTTGACAAAATTCCGCCATGTCGTTTTTTGAAGGCAAATACAAACTGTTATTTTGATCTGCTTACTCAGTAGATTTTGAGAGAGAAAAAGTGACAATAAATGCTTAGTACGTGTCCTCGCTCGATCCTAGGCTTACTTCTGGAAAGAAACAAGATCTGCATGCATTTCAGCAATGGGCAGGAAGAAATGCTTTCGAGTTTTACTGCTGCGACTGATTTTTTTAAGAAAACCTCGAGAATTCGAGAAAGTCATGTTAGTATTGTGCAACCTTTTGTGAATCCAATGTCGTCTCTGCAATATTTCGGTATTATATATGCACATACATATTGCAGACAGATAGACAGACAGACATCTCAGTTTTCGTGGTCACTGCACATTATAAATTTCATCGCAAAGAAAAGAAGAAGCAGAAGGCTGAGAAATGCGCGAGTTATTTTTCTACCCAATAATTTATTCGCAATACCCTGCGTGCCGTCTTCCACTCTTAAATAATCGTTAAACGATGACGCTGACAGAGTGGTGCACAGCATTCTGATCATTTCTGAACTCACGAACAGACAGAATACCACAAAAGCAAATATATCATGATGACCTTAACCCTCAGTCTGTACCCGCTCGCCCTCATGCACTGCATACATATGTATGAAAGTAAATTTGGATTCCAGAAGCATCTTTTGGAAAAAGGTGATCTGATCAGTAGACGGTCTGACCAGTAGAAAACTCGGAGGGTTTGACAGCACAGAGGAGATGAACACATACATATTACCCAATAAACCCCTATGTCCACTTTGTAATATAATGTGAATGTTATCGATTTTCAAACGATGCACCAAGTTGAAGTGGAAGAAAATTGTAATTTATTAGATTTAGCACAATATAAAAATGAGTTAGGAAGAAACACCTCTTTTTTCAGAATTAAATACGATGCGAAATAATTCAGTGCTGTTGGTTGACTACACGACCGGTTACGATATCCATACAGTATAATTTGTGCTAAGAAGGACACCTCTCCAATTTACGAGGCACATTCGAAATGCAAATTTTAAAATAAATAAGACCCAACCACATTAACGTCTCCATTCTCAATTTCTTTTATCCTGCTCGAATTGAGTGACGAGGTGTGGAATGGAATTAAATGAAATAATTGATATGCCCATTGAGCAAATGGGTGCAGACCTACCTGGACTGAAGATAAGTGCATATTAACAATTCGTGAATTTGGACAGGTAGGTAGTTGCCTTTCCATCACCTCACACACTGCGACGTTGGACAGACAGCATAATCGATAGGGTTGGGCGAGTAAATAACAAACCAGTAAATCTGGCACTATGGGTGGCTCTAGCAGGATGTGCTATGGGGAAATCGCGTGATTTCCAAGATTCAGAAATTATTAAGTCATTTTCACCTTTTCCACATGACCACTACCCACGAACAATAATCTCTCTTTCTCCATTTGCAAAACCAACAACAACTCCGTAATCTGGTCACACGAGGTGTGTTATAGTGTTGCGTTACGTGTAAATGAATGCCTGCGTCGTTAGTAGATCGACATGATGAATATTTCGCATGCAATGGAACACGATCCCATTTTCTTCAGAATCAGATGAGTGCAAAACATTCAAGTCTCGTAATAAATTGCAACCAGTGGGATACATTTTAATAAACAACCACCCGGGCATTTGAGATTGGAGTAATGCAAAAGTTTGGTGATAAACTTGAACCAATTAGTTGTACATGATTGCATAGAGAAAGTGACAAATCATGGAATAGTGGAGAGATAGCGAGGTTGGCTGGAAGCCATCCATAACTCATCGCCTCCTCCCCCCGTGAGATACATATTTCGGACAAAAGGCAAAAGCACACGCCTGTAATTAATGTGCCAAATTGGGGGTTAGGATTTCACCGAACAATAATGTCCCTGACATTTGCATCAATCGCAGTAACCACCCAGTGACTGACTGACACCGAGAAAAGTATCGGATAATAAACTCCAGAGCAAGATATAAATACTGCTCATCCTTTCTCACACGCTGCCTGCCCAGTTCCCCCGATAAATAATACCCGGATCAATTTCCCTACCTAATAAAAGAGTTTGAATCCGTAATAATTTCCCATTTTGCTCAACTTGTAATTTGAACCCCGTAATGATGGGAAATGTGATGATGTAAACAATGAAGAAGGTCGCATATCGTTCTGGTCGGGCGTTCCATCCCACGACAGCTCATGCACCAGTTCCATCGTCGTGTCGCATATGACCATGACCATCCATTAAGTTTCCAATTGACACGAGTCGATGATGACACGGGAACGTGGGGGAATGGACATTAAAATAAGACTTTCTCATCACCCCTCACTCACTCCAGCCCATTATTATTGACGGATTGAATTACTGACTCTGCTACTTGCACAACTACCGACTCTTCTGAACCGACTTTCTTTACAATCCTTACAAACAAGGAGATTACAATTACTCATTCTTGTTACACATCGAAGCGAGAAGAAGAAGAAGAGCTCCCAGCAACGAGGGAGTTATGTAGCTGCTTCTTCCCCAGAATCCAATCCAACTCCCGTGTCTCCTCATTGTATTGTGTGAATTGATATTGATACAAAATTGAGAGAATCATTCGAATGAATCCTCTTTGGGATGCGATGCGGGACGATGAATGAGGGAAATGTTGCTACGTTGTTGGTGGCATAACGTGGACCGCTATACATCACTGGTTTGCAGTATATAAAAGTGAAATAAAATCCGGATCAGACAAGGTAAACGAAAGGGAACAAACTGATGACAATAAGGATTCCCACCATTATTGACATTGACACCCTGCCGAGCTATTCTGCTAACCAACCAATGTCAACAAGAATTGGCCCTCCCAAAAGTTCTCACTCATCCTAAAAAGTCATTTCTATTTTATTTCACGGTATTCGGATGGATGCAGCAGCAGCAGACGTGGTTTGGAAACTTTGCATGGTTTCTTTCTTTGTACTGGGATATTTCATTCACAAAAATATCATCCACGAGAAGAAGAAGAATGGCGTGGCTTTTTTGGCTCATCCTTCTTCGTCTTCTCTTGGAGAAATTTTTATTACAACAACAAACGTGAATTATAGCAGTGGCTACCACACCAAAAAGCGGTTAAATTGTTAAATAGCTACCAACAACAGGATGTCTCTCTCCCTCTCCCTTTTACACTTTATGCTACATTAGCTGGG